ATTAATAGCTCAATACCTTATGTAATGTACTGCAGTCAGGAACAAAAAGGTTTCCTTGTATTGTCACTGGGATGCAGGCACCCTGCCTATCATCAGCCAGTTCACAACTTACCCAATATCCACAACCTCTCAAGGCTTTTAGGACTGTCTATCTGCTGAGCACAGAGGAGAGGACACTCATTTCACACCACAACAGAGTACTTTCAATGTTCTGCCTCCATATTATCTTGATTGTAGACTACCCAACCAGCTAACACAGCTAGGACTGGGGAGATTTTTTAAAAATCACACTGGTTATGATTCTAGAGTTGCTGATTTCCTGTTATAGGAAGTAACAGTTCTAGCAAAGAATCCCCAAGGCAAAATGTTTAGTGATCCACTGTGTAAGCTCTAACAGCCTTTGTTCTTCCCTTTGCTAGATTCATTACTGCTTCCTCCTTTCTCCCCCTCTCCCTCTCTCTGAATCCTTCCGCTTTCACTGTAAGATACAAATGCCAGCTCGAATCTAAGTACACATTTATTTTTCAGATGAGAAAAAAAACCCCCCCAAACCCCTGTCCGTTATCCATTGCTTTGAGTTAAAAGCAGTCACCCCTCAGGAGCTGATGCACTGCCCATCCGGTTTCCTCTTCTGATTTAATTACTGCACAATATTATAATTCATGCCACTGATAATGCGCTGGAGCTCCATCCAACCCCCCAAAATACATCTTTCCACTTGGTTGCTGCAAAATCCTCCCAGGGTTACAACAGCCTAAGAAAAGCCATCCATACTATTTATTTTGTACGGCTTTTTTTCTCTCTAGGAGATATTAAGTACATGCTTAACACTGAAGACCTTAATTCAAAACCAAGTGTTGGGTCACTCGGATGTGGCCAAACAATAACCTGTAAATAATCAGACAGCAAATTCTGCATGTGAGTCTGTAACACAGCACAGAACAGCTCACTGCCACAATTGGTCCACAATTTATGATTGTCACTCAGAGGCCTATTCCATATCACTGCATTGTGAAAAAAAATGTATATCTGGATATATTTCAATGAAAATAGTGTATTTAGCCACGATATCAGTAAGTCTTTAAAAATAAGAGCTTTAATCCTATTAAAGCTGGAGGACCTTAATAGCATTTCTTCAGTAACACTTAAACAATTGTCTCCTTCCTAATGTGCCAAGTGTGCAATGAGGAGTCAGATTTACTTCTCACACACATGTACCTACACGCTATTGTCATAATCAGCACAAACCACCACGTCTCACCTTGTGAACCTTGACCTTTTGAAAGATTTTTTTAGCCGGTGCTCAGTTACTGCCACAGCCGCATTACCTCTGCAAACACCAAAGGGTTAAAGGCAGCCCCAATCAATAGGCCTACAAGGAAAAAAAAAAGGGAAAACCAGTATGCCTTACAGCATCTTTGCAATGCTTTTATGCACAATTCTACAACAATACTGTTTCCTTTTGGCCTTACAGAAAGGCACAGCAACCCCCCCCTTAACGTCCCCTAACGAAGCAAACCACAAGACAGCACCCTGTAAATAAAACCGCATGCAAAGCAGCATCCTCAGTCACAAGCATAACTACAATTACAAATCATTCAATCCATTTTATGTAGCTTAGTTTTAAAATAGACTGCATAACCAGTGTCCCACCCTTGCAAAGCAAAAATATTTTAATAAGGGTCATAAATCTCAGCTCTTGCCCATTCCTTAAGCATAAAAAGGCACGAAAAGCCAAAGTAATCTCAGTTACTGCAAATATGTACATTTACATACAGAACCCTTTATGACTACGTTAGCCACATACCAGTGCTGTGTGTCTAAAGTGTGCATTCACATACTGTTTTGGGATGGTATCTTTCTGCAAGCTCCTCTGCTTTTGGCTGCCATGAAGGGAGGAAGCTCTCCCAGTGTAGTAGCTCAGTGACTGCATTGTGTTCAGGAGCTGATCTGCCTCAAACCAGTTCCAGCCGGTTCTGGTCACCCTACATAAAAAGCTATGGCAACCCTCGCTGAGTTGCCAACAAGTCCCTGAAAATCGCAGGGGCTGTTTTTTGTGTGGCGTGGGGCCGGCGCAGCCCTGTGCCCCGGCTCCCCTCCTGCCCGGCCCACGCAGCCCCTGCTCCCCAGAGCCCCCCGCACGCTCCCTTCCTCGCCTCCCCCACTTACCTCCCACAACCTGGCTGAGAGCTGGGAGTGTGTGCGTGCCTGTCTGTAGCTAACAAAGAGACCGCAATAAAAATCCTCATAGGATCTCTCTTGCAGCACCAGGCAGGCTCGGCCACAGCCCTGGGAGACAGGCTGCTAACCCGGGCTGCTCCCCCTCTGCTCCCACAGCACGAGGGGTGGCTGCTCACACACGTCACATCTGCCCCCTCATGCCCACGGCCGAGGGGTGCCTGAGCGAGGGCTTCTCCCGTCCGCCCTCCCCACTGCTCGCTGCATCTGGGGCCGCCCGAGTGGCATTTTCTGAGCTCTGGGCAGCATCACTAGACAGAGGACCCACACGCGCGCCTCCCTCCCCTCAAGAAATCCATTTCCGCAGCAGCAAGATGCCTGCAAAATAGTTCCTTTGCCCCCTCCTCGCAGTACCGAGTCGGCCGCTGCGCTGATTTTTTTTTCTTTTGCTATTCGACTATGCCAGAGGCCCTAAGAACCAGCGAGCTGCAGCCCCGCGGCTGGGCAGCCCCCCCGGCCGGCACCCCCCGGCTGGGGAGGCCCGGGCAGGCTCTGCGCGGCTCCCACCCCGCACAGACCGTGCGGACCGAGCCGCCCGCTCGGCCCTGCGCCTCTGGGGCGATGCCCGGCCAGGGGCTCGGCTCCCCGCGGTGCCCAGGCCGCTCCGGGGGTCCGCACCCACCTGTGCCCGTGGCCGCTCTGCTCCTGCCCGCTCCCCTTCACCTCGGCCACGCTGGGCCTTCCTCCTGCATGGCTGACAGGCACACAGACCGAGACAGCAGCCACCCCGCTCCTCCTGGCTACTCACCCTTGCTCTGGGAACACCAGTAACCACCTCCGCCTACGCGCCGAGCCCCCTCCTCTCGGGGGCTGCGGGAGATGCTGCTCTGCAGGGCTCCCTCCGGGCGGGTGGGCAACCCCGGCCAGCCCCTCTGCCCTGGGCTGCACCTGCAACTGAGCAGAGGTCTCGGGCACAACCCTGCACACCTTCTCCGCATCCCTCATCCCCACCCCGTTCTGGGGAGAACCACCATGTTCTTCCGCTGCCTCGGCCCGTCTTCCCCGCACAGGCGGCCGCGGCCGGCCCTCCCTCGGCCCCTCGGCCCGGGGGGCCGCTCCCTCCTCCGGGCCGCCGCGGCCACGGGCACCTCCCCGCGGGCCCGCTCGCTCCCGGCCCCTGCCCGAGCGGGTCCCGCGAGCCCCGGGGGCGCTCGGGGAGAGGAGGCCGCGGCCCCTCCGGCGGCGGGGAGAGCGATCCGTCCCCGCCCGGCCGGCCCGG